CGCTGGTGTATTGGAGGCGGTACAGCTCCGAGCTTGGCACGTTTGGGTTGCCGACAGGTGCATGTCTCTCGTTGTTGCCGATCAATTGGCCGTCCAGTCCTACAGTCTTGGCCGCTTGGATAAGCGACTTTCTCCACGAGTCATACCCATGGCCGCGGCTTTCCTCTTCGAGACGCGGGGCATTGACTGTTGCTCTCTTCATGTGGCTACTTACTGCTGTAGCCGTCGAGGAATTCTCCATTTCCTCGAATCACGGGTATCTCACCTGGGGGGTTTAACCCCTCGCTTCCCCGTAGTCCGGTCCTATGCCCGGGCCCACTCCGGCTGGTCCAACAGGGTTCGCTCCCGATCTGCTGGCCCAGCCGCCTTCCAGCAGCGACCGTGGTCCTTGCCCACTATCTCTCGTTTGCTGCTGGAGAAATCCCCCGCCACCGCCGAGCGGTTGCATGGGCTCTTCTTGTTGGCCTTCGGTGGCAGCAACCCAGCCGCCCCTACTGGCTGCATCCGCCACGACGCTGCCAGGCTCCTTCTCCTTTATGAACTCCTCCACCAGGGCCGCCAATCGTGAGACCTGAGTTGCAAACTTGCAAGCTCCGCATCGCTGCCCTCCTGCACCGGCGGGCGGATCAGTTCTCCGCTTGCAGCAGTGCCNCCACTACTGGCTGCATCCGCCACGACGCTGCCAGGCTCCTTCTCCTTTATGAACTCCTCCACCAGGGCCGCCAATCGTGAGACCTGAGTTGCAAACTTGCAAGCTCCGCATCGCTGCCCTCCTGCACCGGCGGGCGGATCAGTTCTCCGCTTGCAGCAGTGCCCTCTTCGTCTCCAGCAGAGCTCATCCCAATGTGGCTTCCCTCGAGGGGCAAAAAACTCTAGAGTGTTTGCGGTCTACGCCACTTATTTATAGGGTGAGACTGTGTTGGTGATGTATTAACTTCACGAGAGGTAGACGACCGTCCTTCACACGGACGAAAGAGGGAGTGCTCGAAGAGCGCCCCCCATAGCAAGGAGGGGCCCCGTGAATCATCGTGGTGCCCCCTACCAAACGGCAATCTTACCAGTCTGCGTGACACCAAATCATCCAGCACATATATCCAACACCAATGTTCGCAGACCCACGAACACAGACGTCACTTGATTGGTTCCTTCAACAAGGACAAGTTTCGCGCGAAGCGGGTGCAAAGCGCTACTCCACCAAGCAATAGTTGGATCACAACTTCAATATACATAAAGACAAACTCATGCCCCACGCCGACCTGCGACAAGACACCCGAAGCTTGGAGGACACCCCATCCGAAAAGGGCAACGCAGCTCCATCGACTCAAACGTTGGACCATCCGACATCGAGACTATCAAGGGTATGCGACGACACGACGGGGTACACCTTAGCCAAACGAGCGACTCAGACAGGTACGAGCGTTTGAGCACCGTCACATGAGCCTACGTGATTGGTCGACGCCCACCTCCACCCTGCCCTGTTACGAAAACTCTGAGGTGTACCCTCCCGCGGCTACTTTACTGTGGAACTGTGCACTGATTGGTAGGAAATGTACGCTGACCTGTGGAAACGCAATCCACCCGTCGGCCGTTTTCCCAGCACTTTCCACTACCACAAAACGACAACAAAAACACAAATCTTCCGCTTCCACACAAACCGGTGCAACCGACATCCGAGACACGCTCCATGTCCACCCATTTCCATTCTGGAATATAGCCTACATGTTGCGTGTCAATCATGCTGCTTTCGACCACGGAACAAGCCTCGGATGTCGGGTGCCATCATTTCTTGGGGCGGTAAGATTCGTGTTTTCGGTGTCTCTTGGTGATGGTGGTACAAGCGGAATGTGATTCGTGCATGAATAGGTTCAGTTTGCCATCATCTCAGGCCACATTTCCAGAATAACAAAGTTCTATCCCAGAGAAACGTAGCCGTATACCCCATGGTGTTTGCAACACGGCACGGTGAAAATGGACATCAATCAATCACCAAGCCTCCGTTCACGGCGTGCGAAGGAATGTACACGTCTGAGTCGCTCTTCGACCTTGGTGTATACCCTACAGTCTACTCTGTTGTGCCATTCACCCGCACAATCAACAACACCACGTAAAGACGCGAGTTGTTTTCGGGTCTGCCCTGTGGTCTTTGCGTCTTTAGCATGGACGTATATACCGCATCACATGCAACCGCCAGAGGAGCGAGGACATGTTCCGAACCCGACATCCGAGCAGTGCCTGGCTTGTCCCAACCTGTCCTCTGACTACGAACTGCTCGAACTACTTGCCTGATCACTGCTCCAACAAGACTTGATAGCTGCCCCCTGTTGGTATGTCCGTACTTGGGAGGAGAAGACACGCTTTAACTCTCTCTGATTAGGCACCCGCGGGAGCGAGGAAAGGAAGGGAAGAAGTGGCCCTCCCGAATTCGGGGAAGGGGGCCCACACATAGTAGCCTTTTTCAGGCATACGCATGCTCCTGTCTACGTACCCCCCCGTGCTGCTAGCAGATCTACCATGCTCGTATCCAGACACACGAACACCCTCCCCGGTTCGTCAAGCTATTGACAAACCATCAGTGGGGCATGGATACTCCAGATTTACTTAAGTTACTCATACAACAATGGGTGCAAGGGAAATACTCGGCCATCCGGATCAAAAATCCTCGCCTACAAACTCAAAGCATAAAAGAAACCGTCGCTATCACGAAGGATTCCAACGGCCGCACTATCAGGGCAGGACCAAGGCAGGACAGATTGGACAGGCCACGCTGATTACACACC